GGGGGGGGGGGGGGGGGGGGGGGGGGGGGGGGGCGATTTCTCTTCTTCCTCCCCCCTTCGTCATCACGCCTCCCCTCCTAACCAGCTCGCTACCCGTCGCTCGATCGTCCCGCTACTCCCCTTCCCTTCCCCTCCCCGCTAGTCGACCCTAAATTACGGCAGCGATCGGAGGGGTGGGGGAGGAAGGTGGGGAAGAGGGAGGAGGGGGGGGGGGAGCAGACGGTATCGAGCAGTTTTCTACAGTAAACAGTTGCTACCTGAGCTCCTGGACCCCCTCCCCCTCCTCCTCTCTGGATCTGCCAGTGGGACGAAAGGGAGTAACGTGCGCGTTATCTGTGTGTTACGAGTCCGGTCGCGTTAAAAAGTGAAAAGTATTGAGTACCTCTCCGTTGTAGAGAAAATGTACTGACTCGGGAAAGGGCTTGTAAGGTGGCGCAAATATAGGCCCTTTATGCGATAGGCTGTGCCATCGCGCGCCGCCAGGCTCTTTCTTCTCTTCTTCCCACCTGAAACAAAATTACGCTCAAAAAACAAGCAATTTATCATCCACAAGAGCAATATTCATCCAATCATTTTGCGAACTGAACAGAAAAGAGAAGGACAAAAAATGACCATTTCCAGATTTCCTCCTCCTCTTCCACCTTCACTCGTTTGCTTGTTGCTGTACCATTGCTCTTCTCAGTAGTGACTTTCTTCTTCTTTCGTGAACTCACCGTAACCGACGCACTGTTTTTATCATTGGATTGTTCCTGGCGCTTCTCTTTTTTCTTACGCTGCAAAAAAGCGAGAAATGTAAAAAAAAAAAAAAAAAAAAACAGCAAAATTATGGCGAGTTGAAAAACAAAACGACACAGATAACGCGAAAAACGTTTGAGCACGAACTAAGCAACCTTCGGTGCATAATCCTCATCGTCCGATTCGACTCTTTTCCGCTTCTTTGCTTTAATTTTTATACCCAGTGGTACGTCATCATCGCTCATATCCGGCACTTCAGCCTTCACTTCCGTAACCTCTTCCACTTTCACCTCCTTTTTCACCGTGGAAGGCGCCGCGTGCTTCGATTTCTTTACTCGATGATTGTGGGAGGATGCGGCTGCCAATGCCTCTTCAAACGAGCCTTTCGGTGGCTGCAAAATCAATCTCTGTTGCATACATTATCATTTGAGAAATGCTTTTTAATAAACGGTCATGAACCAATTCCAGCGAAAAATAAAAAAGAAATTTTAAATAAAAATTACCATTTTGGTTTTAAGAGATAGCGGGACATCATCATCGTCATCAATCTCCTCCTTTTTCATAATATTGTTCACTTTGGTAGTTGCACTGTAAAAAATCGCATTGCTAAGAGTGATACAAAGGAAAAACGATGAAATTATTTGCATGCCCACTCAAACAAACATACTTCCACGTATACATGCATATATATATATATATGCACATACATATATGTATATACATATATATATATGTATGTATGTATGTATGTATGCATGCATGTATATGTACATATACATATATGTATGATATGCGGCTTTTTTTTGCCTCACGTTTACCGAAAAAGCATTTTGAATGAACAAATATTCTGTAATTTAATGATCCGACCGGTTAGTTTGTCTTTACCCTTCACTGAACGAGTCTTTGTTCCTGTCTCTCAGCTTATTAGCCTTTTCCTTTCGCCTATAGGGCCTTTACGGCCCGTACTGCCTTCTATTAAAATGAGCTCAAAAGCCCATTCAGATTCTTTGCCTCGGATGACGTCATGACCACTCAAAACTAGTCGAAATGACGATACTTTGCCAACAACAACCGCACGCCGGTTCGCTTCCAGAAATTGCTTCCTACGGACTATGTCTGCATTAGCAAGCTGGGCAACGGGATCATAAGGCATACTAGGCATGCCATTAGTAACGGGATCTTAAGGGATTTGAGGCCAAGAACATAAGTGCGAGAGACAGAATTAGCGCAATTTGTAAGATTTTAAAAACAAATTCAGTGAAAACTTCGCCAATTTAATAATTTCGAAAGCCAACAATAGTAAAACCATCAAAACAATCTAAGTAGGTCGACACTGGTAATGCTATCGGGATGTCCCCACTACTGGTCGAAGCTATTCCAGGCCTTCTATATTAAGAATATGGATGCCTACACCCTTTTAACTTCTTCACTTCCTTATTTGCTTATCATTTGCACCTAAACACTGTATGAACATCAACATAACCCAAGCATCAATTTTCTGAATTTTTTTGATAATTAACACATACTCGCTTTTTTTTATCTTTTTACTGGATGGCCCCGCGAATCGGGCCTAGGAATACCAAGCCTTATATTACATACCAAAGGGAAAAGAATATTTCCAGACAATCAGTGTGAGTATCCCATGTTAGTGATGTTACTGAAATGATCCCCTGGGCTGGGTATGCTTGTCCCCACTTGATTTTTCTGCAAAACACAGTGGGTAATTCAAAAAGTACGTAGAATTCAGCAAAGTGCTCGAGACATACAGTTATTTTCCTTCCAAAGTAACAATCAATCGAACTCATTTTCAAGCAGATTGCAGCTTTCAGGCTAACTCTGGAGGTGCAGATGGCAGGATGCGCAAGTGCAGGAGACAGTAATCAAATCAATTACCTTTCTCCATTTGAATATGAGTTGCTGGCGTCCGCATTTGCCGCCGAAGCCATCTTTTTTTCAACAAACGGAGAGCACTAGTGATAGAGGCTAAACCTGTAGAATGAGCATTTATGAGGCAACCAATATAATTATGAGCTTGGAGCAGCGCATGGCTTACAAGAGCACGGTCTGAAGGCCCAAAAAGATGAAGAGCGACTTTTGTCGCGCCTCTGGTCAAACTGGCTCAGGGGAGTGCAGATATGTTAAAAGTGTCGCAACGATTACGACTGGCATCTCGTAATCCTGGCATGGTATTTTAGGATGAAATCAGAATTGCACAAGCATTTTCTCAAGTTTTCCCTTAGCCCGCTTTAACTCGCCCGGTAATGAAAAGCTTCAAAGTTATAAGCACACAAAAACGTGGGAG